CCCCAAAACCCCAAAACCCCAAAACCCCATACCGCCTACAGCTGAATTAAGTGGTAGAATAGGTAATCCTGAAATTAGAGTTCCTGGTCAGACCAGACTTTTGTGAACTTCTGGAATTCCTAGAGGCTGCTAAGGGCTCATAGGTTTTTGGGTGATCAGAGTAGAGGTACTTAAGTTCGGACTTGGAGAGTCCCTTGGTTTCTTTGACGAGGAAGGTGATGAAGAGGAGGAATAGAGTGTTGATGCCGAAGAAGAGGAAGTAGGTACCAGGGCGAGTAATTGATTTGATCATTGTTTGTGTGATCAAAGAAATGACAACAGTTAGAGCCCAAATGATAGTCATAGCTACTGAGATACCTACTTCAGTCATTATTTCTGAAATATAAATATAAAAGATTGAACCAACTCCGATCTCAAAGAACAATACAAATCAGAGAGTAAATGTGATAACAAAAACATTCCCATTGTTCCCAAGAGAAGTATAAATAGCAAGAGATAAAAGACTAAGGCACATTCCTATATTTCCAACAAGGAAAAGAAACTTTCTTCCGAATTTCTTCTGCAGGAAAACAGAAAATAAAGCTGACAGCAGATTAACAAGTCCAACAACTGAAGTGATTATTCTCTCGTCTTCAGAATCTTCATTCATATCAGTACTAGATGATGAGAAAATGATTTGATTTGTGTATAAAATTACAACATTAATGCCTGTAAGCTGCTGATAAATTGCTAATAAGCACCCAATTAAAAAAGCACATCTATATTTAGGACTGAATTGTTGTCACAATGAAACCTTTTCTTCAACAATGCTTTGTGAATCTCCAACCATCAAGTCGATTCGGCTTGCATCTGGATCGATGAGTGACTCAATCTGTAATTTAGATGCACAAACCTTACTCGTCTTGCTCTTCGTTCGTCTCTCACTTGGCGATAATATTTAGGAGTGTCATCTGTGAAGACCAAAAGTAGCAGAAAAGATTGGACTAAAGCGACGATTCCTGGTATCATGAACACATATCTCCAAGAATTTGTTCTTTCTAAGTCCTTATCATCATCAGTAGAATTTATTGGAGTCAGAAATCTAAACAGATAAGCTAACATAATTCCAGCTGTGATCATAACTTGGCTGATGGCTCCAACAGGCCCAGAAACTTTTACAAAAGAAGTTTCTGAGAGAAACATAGGACAAACAACTCCTAACACTCCGACTCAATAGCCGACAAAAATTCTTCCTATTAATATTGGATAAAAATTAAATATCATTGTCATACCTGTAGCTAATCACAACACCACATTTATACCCAAAATAGCTTTCCTTCTTCCATATGCCACCAGATATCCCCCACTCAGAGATCCTAAAACCGCCCCAGCCGGCACTGCAGTTATCATGACCAAATTAAACATATCTCTGCTTCCAACAATAGCCCCCTCAGTATTTCCAAATTCCTCAAACTGATCAAACAACACCTCAGCCACTGAACTAAACATGACATTAGCAAACCCCATCTGGAACATTCCAAGTGAAATTGTTCCCATCCAGATCCATAGGAAGACCAGGTGCATTTTCATTAATCTATTCACAATTTTATTAAACTTTCTGGGGTTTTGGGGTTTTGGGGTTTTGGGGTTTTGGGG